TTGATGCCGAACACCATGCTTTTATAGTGAGTGGGTCATGGTAACATATCTGCCATCGAAGCACATTATTTATGTCAGGCACTTGCACAGGCTGAGGAACACTGAGTCTTTCCAAACACTACTAGGGTTTTAGAAAGGTTCTATCCTAAGTGCTCTCCAGACTATGGCTGCTGCATGGGGAGAAGTCACCCAGCAGTGTATGAACTGCATCTAGAAGAGAATTCTGAAGATGTACGTGTGTTCATTCAAGAGCTTTGATCAAGATGCTGTTGATGTGCTCAGTAACAAGATGTTAGCTCTAGAAACAGCTGGAGTAGGACATGGATGAGGAAGGCATTCATGAGACTGTTGGCATCAAGGCTGAAGCACTCAGTGAAGGGCTGACAGAGCTGCAGGAGGGGAGAAAGCAGTAGAAGCTGAGGAGGAAGTTACGCACAAGGCACCAAGAAAGTTCACAGCCAAGAAACTGGCAGAAGCATGTGCTGTTATCCTGGGGCATGCTGATGCTAGGAGATGGCCATTGTGGGAGATCTGTGAGTGCTGACAGGCAAATAAGGGATGCTCTTGCTTGCTATAGAGAAATGCATCCCAGGAAACAAAAGTGGGAAGTCAAAAGTTGGCATTTTTCCTGGAGAACACAGTGTTTACTAAACCAGCAAGTGTCACTAGCTGTGTCTTCCTCAGCTTTATCCTAGCCTCCTCAGAAGAGGCCATTGATGACTGTATTAACAGCTCCAGCATCCATGCCTCAGCCACTAACTCTAGTTTAGTGCCTCACACATCCCCGAGGCTCAGCATGCTTCTAAGTGTGTGCCCACATACAGCCTTTCAATTTTTCACTTTCAGTACAACATTTAACCATATTTGGGGTGACCAATACTTCATTATAAAAGAAAATTTGTCGCAAATACCAGATATATTTTTGGCTTGATGTACTTTTTGGAGTTTTTAATTTTATGGAAATCTGTGTATCTGAGTGTGGGTGTGTGCATGTTTGAGTGTAATAGCAGGAGCTGGAGTTTCCTGGTGGTTGAGAGTCACCTGACATAGCTACTGGGAACTAAGCTCAGGTCCTCTGGAAGAGTACATGCTCTTACCTACTGAGCTACAACATCTTCAGCTTGTAATGGGTGCATCTGGACATACCTCCACTATCCAGGGGCATCTGCTTAACTAAGTTGGTAGGCATCTTGGAATCTCCTAGTTTTTATTTGCATTTCCCTAAGAACTTAGGATGTTGAGTATCTGTTTATATGCTTCATAGCTGAATTATTCTTATATCTTAAAAGTATCTCTAATTATTTTGCCCATCTTTTGGTTCTTAAAAATTGGGTTGTTTTACTGAGTAGTAGGCCTTCTTTTTTACATTCTTAGATAAGTCTACAATCACTTTTTGTGATTTCTTTTGTTTGTTTTAATAGATTGAAGTTTTTAGAGTAGTTTTAGGTTTGTAGTAAAACTGGTCAGAAATTATAGAGATCTCACCCATACCCACCTTTCCTCAACCTGTGCAGAGCTGTCAGAACCCTGAAACTAGGGTTGTATGGATGTTATAGTTGATGACATCGTTACATCATTGTCATCCCAATGGGACTACCATTTCCTTTTTTTTTTAAAAAAATTAAGATTGATTTTTAAAATTACATTTCTTATTTTTGTATGTTGCCACATCCAGTTTGACTCCAGGGACAGACCTGATTGGGGAGATGAGTGAATGAAGAAGACAGACACAGAGACAGAAAAGCTGGGATCCTGTGGTCTGGGCTCTTGGCAGGAGAAACGGCAACTCAGCATGTTTATTATATGGAGTTGAACAGGGAGGTGAGGTTACTGTATACAGCTAGATCAAGGAGGACAGTGAGTGATACATGCAGATAAACAAGGAGACAGAGTTTATGGTATCAGCTGGACCAAGGAGACAGGTGTAGCTAATTTCTGTAGGAGCATTATGTGTAGGGGAGCAGTCTTTTGGCCCTGAATTATCTGGGGGGGGGGTGGAGAGAAAGCTATGGTGGGCATTTCTGTACACTCTTCCAGTATCTACACACAGACCAGACCAGAGGGACAGCTTTGCCATTTCCCTTTGAGCTTTTCCCTCAAGGAGAAGGCTTTGTCATTTTCTCCCTGGGTCTGAGGCTATAGAGTCCTTGACATGGCTGTGACTATGCCAACAATACACATTCGCTCGGGACTTAACTCACTTAGAGCTTCCTTTGCACCCTACAGTATGTGTGGGGAGGGGCGGGAAACAACACATGTGTGTTGTGGTGCTTGTGTAGCAGTCACAGGACAGTGTTTGAGAGTTAGTTCTCACCAAGTGGGTCCTGGGGATTGAACTCTAGTCATCAGGCTTGGCAGCAAGTAACTATCAACTGAGCCATCTCGCCAGCCTGGGACTTTTCATTTTCTTAACTGTGTTTTCTAAAGTACAATAGATTTTAATTTTGGTAAGATAACCAAATTTTTATTTTATGGATGACCCCTGATTGATCTAAGAACTCTTTGTCTAACATGACATGCTTTGTTTGTTTGTTTGTTTTTTTCTTTTGGTTATAGTGAAATTCCTAACCAAAAAAATATACCTTCTTAACCATTTCCAGGCACAGTATCAAACAGGTTAATGTTGCACAGCAACTACCACCATCTTTCATGGCAACATTTTTTCCTTGTGGAAGGGAAAATTTCCCTTCCACAAACTTCCATGTTTATCTATCTCAGTGCCTAACAGTTGCCTACTTCATACTTTTGACATATGGACTAAGTATTTCAGGCAATGCTATTGGCTGTGCCTGTTTTTTTTTTTTTTTTTTTCTTTTGAGATGGGAATATTTTCTTCAGCATATCCTCAACTTCACCTATGTTGCAGCATGCAGTTACTTTCCTTTTAAGGCTCAATAGAATTCCATTGTGTGTGGCCGAGGTTGTGCTTGCTTACTGGTGTGGACATTGGGGTTGCTCACTTTGAGGTTGGGAATAATCTGCTGTACATGTGGATGTCTTGGCATCTCTTAAGATGGTGCCTGCAATTCTTTGAGGGTATTTCGTGGAGTGGAATTTCTAGGCCCTATAGTAATTCTATTTTCAATTCCCCCTTTTTTGAAAAAAAAAAAAATTTACTTCCTGTGTATGATGGATTTCTTGGCATAATGTATGGGCAGTGCTGGCAGAGACCAGAAGAGGGCAGTGGCACCCCCAGAACTAGAGTTAAGACACTGGTGAGCTGCCACGTGGGTTCTGGGAACCGAACCTGGACCCATGTCCTCCTCAAGAGCAGGAAGCACCCTTCACGGATGAGACTCTGGTTCTTTTCTTTTCCTTTTTGAGACAGTCTTGCTATGTAACCTAGGCTGTCTGGAGATTTGCTGTGCAACTGTATCAAATTGGCCTTATGCTTGTTAGCCTCTGCCTCCTGAGTGCTAAAATTGCAGGTGTGGGTCCCCTGTAAAATATTTTGAATGTTTAGATGGCTCTCAGTAGCCACACCATTTTATGTCACAACAGCAGTGTATAAAGGTTACAGTTTCTCCAGTTTCTTTGCAGCTTCTCCAGCACTTATTTTCCTTTATTTAAAAAACTATTATTAGTGTGTGTGTGTGTGTGTGTGTGTGTGTGAGTGAGTGTGTGACATACCATGTTCATGCATGTGCTCTTGGAGGACAGAAAAAGGTATTGGATTCCCAGGAGCTGTAGTTATAGGGGGTTGTGATCTGCCCGATGTGGGTGCTGGGAATGGAACCCAGTTCTGTAAGGACAGCAAGCTCACACCTCCTACCTACTGAGCCATCTCTCAGCACCCACCCACCCCCCTTTTTTCCCTCAGCTTTCTTTTTGTATGTATGTTTGGTTGGTTTGAGAGAGACAGAGTTTCTCTGTATAGCTCTGGCTGTCCTAGAATTCTCTTGGTAGGTCAGGCTGGCTAGGAACTCAGAGAACCACCTGCCTCTGCTTCCCAAGTGCTGGGATTAATGGCGTGCACAATTATGCTTGGTGACCACAGCTTTCTTTCTTTTCTTTTTCTCCTGTCCCCTCTTCCCTCTCCTACCTTCCCCTCTCCCCTCCCATCTCCCCTTCCCTCACCTCCTCCTTTTCGTCCTTTTGGTTTTTCAAGAGAAGGTTTCTCTGTGTAACAGCTCTGGCTATCCTAGAACTCACTCCATCATGGACCAGGCTGGCTACAGACTCATGGAGATTCACTTCCCACTGCCTCCTGAGTGGATTAAAGGCATGGGCCACCGCACCTGGCTAACAGTGGCTTTCTTAATAGATTTGGGGGTAGTTCTTAGGTTTTCTTTTTTGGGAGTTTTTAAGATTAAAATAATTAAATGGTCTTTTCGTCATTTTTCTGATTAGAAAGTGTAGTTAAAAATAGAGTAACACTATATAACTATAGCAGACACTTTAAAATAATGCATTTCCTTAACCTTAGTTGCTAATTATCTCTTTTGTGGTCGACCCCTTAAACTAATTTCTGGGCTTTTGGATTTGTTTGCAGTACAGTAATTACTTTTGTATACAGATCTGTTAATTTTGAAAACTGCTCATTGTTTCACTTCATTTAGCTTTCTCAGCCAGATGTTTAAAAAGCAGTCTGCATTTATTCACACTAATGTGAGATGGACTTATGGCATTTTATAACTCACGAAGAGGAACATTCAATTTAAAAGAATAAGCCAATTCTTACCGTTGGTAAACTCTCATCTGAACAAGGTGAGTAGTAACCAATTCCAGGAGTGAGAGCAAAATCTTTAAAAGTCCAGCATTGGTGTACAAGTGTTCCTGAGAAAGAGCTGCTTTTCCTCTTCTGGACCTGCAGGCTCTCTAAAGCTGGTAACGAGCTGGCTGTTTCCATCACTGTAAAGGAGCTAAGGCTCGATTTGCATACTTGGCTCAGGCAACACAGTTGGTTCACAGTTGACACTTTATTCTGATAAAGGTCATTGCTGGCTGTCATTGAAAATACAAGTGTATTCATGCCTACTCAAGCATTCTTGTGTTTACAGGTCTCCCTGCATTTGTTCGTCCTCCTAAAGATGCATCCTGACTTGTCTCCGCACTTACACACCGAGGAATGCAACATCTTGATTAACTTGCTTAAGGAATGTCACAAAAATGTAAGAATCCAGGAGTGACCGTAAAACACAAGTGAAACTTGTGAACACTAATGTGTTCTCTTAGCACAATGGGGCAGTAACAGGTGTGAGCTGCTTGGAGTTTGTGTGATTCCTTGCTCTTTATGACGTGCTGTGTAGAGTGCCTGTTCAGTGCTGTGCGGTAGTTGGAGTGCATGTCTTTACAGTGAGGTGTGTCACTTCCCTCACGAAGGATGGGACGGTTAGTGCACCTTCAGTTCCTGATCATGTGCCATCATTAAATCAAGGGGACTTTTTTTTTTGGTAGATGTTGAATGTTTGGTTTATCTTTAAGTTTTATCAAGGATTAGAGTTTTCCTTTAACTCTGTGCTTTTATTTATCGCATGATGCTGTAAACTGTGGACATATTACATTTAGTAGTGGTGACTGCCATTCAGAGGATAAGATCAGGACTCAAAAAATGGTAATAAGTTGATGGGAGATAACATTCTGTAAATATGTTTCTCTTATTGGTTAATGAATAAAGCCCTGTTGGCTAGTAGGAAAGCAAGATAGGTGGGACTAGGAGACAAGGAGGATTAGGGAAATGTAGTAGAGGAGAGTCAAAATGTAGGGACTTGAGATAAGTCTGGACCCTCTCTCCTGTAAGATAACACCACATGGAAACACTTAGATTAATAGAAATGGATTAATATTTAAGCAGAGCTAGCCAATAAGAAACACTAGTAACAGGCCAACAGCTTTATATCTAATATAGTGTCTCTGTGTTATTTGGGGACCAGGCTGTCGGGAAGAACTGCTCATAACAATAAGTTATGCCTACAGTCTTTGCAGGCAGATGTTTTATTGGGTCAAAGAATGCTATTGATGATGACAAGCTTTGGGCAAACAGTTCACACAGTATATATGTGGGTCAAGAATTAGGTGCTCTTATGCTGGGAGATGGTGGCTCACATCTTTAATCCCAGCACTGGGGACGCAGAGGCAAGTGGATCTCTGGACTACAGAGTGAGTTCGAGGATGGGTTCCAAAACTACACAGAGAAAAATCTGTCTGGAAAATAAGTAAACAAATAAAATTGTTTCTCTTTTTCAGCTTTTTAAAGGGCTGAGGATGTAGCTCTTTGCCAGAGTGCTCTGAGTTTAGTATTCAGTACTGCATAAACTGGTACATGTCTATAATCACTGCATTTAGAGCAGTGATTCTTAACCTTCCTAGTGCTGTGACCCTTTAATACAGTTCCTCATGTGATGACCCCTAACCATAAGAGTATTTCCTTGCTACTTCATAACTGTAATTTTGATGTTGTTATGAATTGTTAATGTAAATATTTGATATTCAACCCCTGTGGGAGATGTGAAGACAGGAGGATCAGAATTTCCAATATCCTCACAATATAAGTTCAAGACCAGCCTGAGTTACCCAAGATTCTCATCACAATAAATAAACAAAATAACTGTCTTAGTTATGGCTTTTATTGCTGTGAAGAGACAGCATAACCACGGCAGCTCCTATAAGGAAGGCATTTAATTGGGGGGGGACTCTCTTACAGTTTCAGAGGTTCAGTCCATTATCGTGGTGGGAAGCATGGCAGCAGGCAGGCGTGATGCTGGAGCTGAGAGTCCTACATCTTGCAGGCAATAGGAAGTCGACTGACTCACATTGAGAGAAGTTTGAGCAAAACAGACCTCAGAGCCCTCCCCCACAGTGACACACTTCCTCCAACATGCCACACCTCCTAATAGTGCCACTCCCTTTGGGGGCCATCTTCTTTCACACCACTACAATAACCTCCTCTATTTTAAAAAATATTGTATGTATGTATGTATGTATGAATATTGTATGTATGTGGGTACAAGTGCCGTGTGTGTGTGTGTGTGTGTGTGTGTGTGTGTGTGTGTGTGTGTGTGTGTAGAGGCAGATGACAACTGAAGGAGTTGGTTCTTTCACTTTGAGACAGGGTCTCTCTCACTTCTACCATTGTGCTGGGTGAGTGAGCTTCTGGCCCATTGTGTCTCTTCTTCCCACATTGCCCTAGTAGTACTGGGATTACAGACCCAGCTTTTTACATGGTTTTGAGGCACAAAACTCAGGTTGTCAGGTTTATAAGGCAAGCACTTTTTTCTGCTGATCTCTCCTTGGCCATAGATGTCTGTTTTTAATACCAGTATCACAGCCTTGAATGCTGTTTGCCTTGTGTTGTCTCCAACCCATATTCCAATAGTGTCCTTTCTTTTTAGAGATAGGGTCTCACTGTCTGGCCTGAAGCTCAATTATGTCTTTTTAAAGAGCTGGCTTTGGCTATTGTAGAACTTTTTTTTTTTTTTTTTTTTCTCATTTGGATTTTCGAGATAGGGTTTCTCTGTGTGAAAGTTCTGGGTGTCTTGGAACTCACTCTGTAGACCAGGCTGGCCTTGATCAAACTCACAGAGATCCACCTGCCTCTGTCTCCAGAGTGCTGGGATTATAGGTATGTGCCACCACCACCATCTGGGTTAGAACCTTTCACTTCCTTAGAAGTTTTAGAATTACCCTATCACTTGAACAGTTTTTTACTAAGTGTTTTCCATTTGATGCTGAACACTTGGGGTTTTTAGCTCTTTTCTTTTTTGGTAGTCAACTTATTTATGATTGAAGTCATCTGCTGGATAGGTATGTTGAGGCCTTTTAGGACGTGTCTGGAGTAGCTTAATTAAGCATGATCCTAGGTTCTTTAATGCTTGAGTGTTGGTCTGACTTGTAAGAACTCTGTGGATTCTTTGCTGTCAGCCTTTAGTTCTTTAAGTAGTTCTTTGTATTTACTGCAGTCCTGTGCTATGTCAGCAACAGGTGTTGCAGTCTGGTGTGGTACCCTCGTTGACAAAGCCAAGCAGCCAGAGCTGTGTGGTTGATGGGAAGCCAGGGAAACACAGGCCTTACAGGTGTTGCAGACTTGCACCTTCTAAAATAGTTTTCCTCCTTCGTCTGGCCAGATTTCTGGTTTTTGCAAGACCACTTCTCTCCCATTTACTCTCAGAATTGGAGGATTTCAAATGGATTTGTTTGTTTTTTCCTCGGGTTCTCTGTATAGACCTGGCTGGCTTCAAAGAGATTCAACTGCCTCTGCCTCCCAAGTGCTGGGATTAAAGGCATTCAGTTCAACTCCATAGCCTGTTCAAATGGATTTTTAAATAGATGATACTGGAACAATTACATAGCCAATTGGGAAAAGTTAAAATTAGATTTTTACTTTATACCAGACCCATGAATCTAATCTAGAGGGTCAGGGGTTTAAATGTCAAAAATAAAATCACACAAATTCTAAGAAAACACCAGTGTGTATCCTGAGTGTGGGGAAAGACTGCCTTGCCAGTCGTTAGTCTAGAGTCTGTTTATAAAGTTGTTTTTATTTGGGTGTGGTGATGAACACCTTTGATCCCAGTACTCAGGAGCCAAAGGCAGATGGATCTCTGTGAGTTCAAGAACAGCAAGGCTCTATTATACAGAGAAATCCTGTCTCAAACGAATAAAAAAAAAAAAAAATGAAGTTATTCTTTTCTTCTTTCTATGGTTCTTTGAAAGTAAGTTACTGTGTGCATTTATAGACTAGTGAATTAAATTCTCCCCCTTTGATAGCACAGTATCTATGTAGTTATATATTTTTAAAATCTGTGTTATACATTTGTCCTACTTATTTACTGCTATCATGTGGACTCATGCATACAAGGTTTGTAATCTAGTTTGATTTTGTTGTTCAGGCTATTTCAGCTTTGGGCACTAGGTGTCTCTCAATGTGCTGTGTGCAGTAGTTAAAATACAGAGAAGCTAGTGGTAGCTCAGGCCCTTACTCAGGTAGGATACGGTAGGCTCAAGAGGCAGAGGCAGAGGCAGAAAGATCAGGAGTTCAAGGCCAGCCCCAACCTTTAGCTGGGCATGGTAACACATACCTTTCATTGCTGTATTCAGAAATGTGCCATGAGTAGAACCAGATACTTATACATTTATTCCAGATGAGTCACACCAAAAGGAAGGGTGACTGAAGTCAGATAATTTGAACAAAGGCTAAGGATGGAGGTGCTGTTGGTTGAGTGTGGCTTTGGCAGTGGCCAGCAGTTTGAGAGGTGCTTTCCATGTGTTCTGTGAATCCCAGAGTTGAGCAGTAAGAGACTGCTCTCAGAATCGCACCACACTGGAGCAGCATCCCTGGAGCCTGACAGTCCCTGGTGTTCACAGTAGGGCTGAGCCCCCGGCTTTGCATCTGATGTGACCAGGACTTGCCATATGTGCACTTTGATAGAATTTGTGTTAAAGCTGCAACCTTCTGCCTTTTGCTGGACTCTCTGAGGATGCTGGGTATGTACCACACACTGCCTCAGTGGTTGAATTGATAGGATGGTAGACTAAGTTGTCTAGCTTCTGGCCCCAATATGTGTAGCTGTTTTAATCTTTCTCTGTTATGAGGCTATCACTGTGGATGTCTCTTCCCATGCAGGGATTCTGCAGTGCCCTGTGGTCCTCTTGAAGTTCAGGCCCCTTCATCTCCACAGAGCCTGCCTTGCTTTGCTTTCGTCATTTTCCCCATGTTTCATGGTTTTTCTTGTGGTCTTTGCAGCCACATGTCATTTCCATGGCTGTCACTAGCCACAGGCTGCCTCTGATCGACTGGCCTATTTTGCCTACATTTGTCAGCAAGACTCAAATCATCTACACTTAAGTACAGAATGTAAAGCAGCTGCTTCCCTCAAAGCTGCTTGGAAGTCCTTGGTGGGTTTTTTTTTTTTTTTTTTTTTTTTTTTTCCTGATTTATAAAGGCGATATTTAAGAAATGCATGTCTTTGTAGACAGTCTAAAAAACCCAAGAAAGCATCAAGGAAACAGATGCTACCATTCCTTTGCCACCCAAAAATAAGTCACTAAGAATAGGCTTTACCAAGCATTTTTTCTTATCTCTGTGTTCTCCCCCCCACCCCCTTTGCAGGAGTCTTCCTATTAACATTTTAAAAGACTCACCTCTTTCTCTTGCTGAGAACATAAACACATAAACCTTCCAGTAATCTCAGACTTCAGGGTAGACTGGAAGGAGGGAGTGTTTGCTTTTTCCTCTTTTAGTTGGTTTTCTGCTCCTCGGGAGGGCACTGGCCAGTGCAGGGTTAAACTCAGTGGGTATCTTCAGCCACCTCCCTCTCCAGGCCAGCATTTGATCCCTTTTGCAACCTTGTCTCTTCCCTGGTTTTACTTAGCCTTGACTATGCTTGTCTCCTTGGCAGTCTTACCTCTGCCTTAAGCCTGTTTCTCGGCTATACCTCTTGAGAAATTTTTCTGTGATTAGGGCAACTGAAATCTCTAGCTCAAACATTTTATTTTTTTCTAAATTCTGTTTACCTCTACTGTACATTAACTCCATGGATTAGCTGTTCCACAAACAAATTCAACTTGTCCAGACAGACTCAGCTCCTTTTAAACTGTCCCCTCCTTTCTTCGTGACATCTACTTGTCAAAGCCAGCCAGTGCTGTCTCTAATTCCATCACTTCTCAGCCCCTGGGGATGTCTGCTGTCACTCTTATGGAAGGGTGAGAGTGAGCAGAACAGATAAGTACTTGGATTATTGGGGAAGTTTTCAAGTATTTAAATTTAGTATTATTATTGTTGTTTTACGAGACATGGTTTCCCTGTGTAACAGCCCTGGCTGTCCTGGAACTCGCTTTGCAGACCAGGCTGGCCTCAAACTCACAGAGATCTGCCTACTTTTGCCTTCCAAGTGCTAGGATTAAAGGCATGTGCCACCACCACCCAGCTTCAAGTATTTAAATTTATATAAAAATTCTATGTCTAATTTATTGAGTTCTTTGACAGTTTTGTATATTTTACAGCATTTTCTATTTATTCTTACTCCTCATCCTCTGTACCTCTCTTCCATACCTCTAGTGCCCCTCTTCACCGACCTCTCTCCCCCCCCCCCATTCATGCTTTTTTGTTTTGTTTTATCACCACTGATTTTTAACCAAGACCACCCATGTGCACGTCCTGGAGACAAAAATATTCTTGGGACCAAGGTATCCCTGAACTGTTGTTGTATGGAAATGGCTTCATTTTGTCTTCACTCTGCAATGAGAACAGGGTTAGGGTTCACTTCATTCACTGCTAATACCTTGGTGCCTGGTACACTTTCTCTATATAAAAGATGCTCAGATACCAACTCATCAGTTACTCCTTTGGGTTGGTTTCTAGAATACACACCCAGTACTAGCAGGTACAAGGAAACTTCAATCCACAGATACTTTGTACCAGTTACCCTTGGGTATTTGGGCTTGACATTTCCACTCCACAAAGTGTAATTCTCATTTGGGCTTAGCTAATATGAAAGGACAAAAGTTAGCTTTTATCTTAGATTTTAAAAATAAGGTGTGTGTATACAGGACAGCTGGAGAGATGCTTGGTTGGTAAATGCTGACTTCAAGTGTGAGGGCTGAGTTCTGAGGCAAGCACCTGTGTAAAAGCTGGGCACAGCAATGGGGGCCTGTTATTGGCCTGGGCAGGCTCAGACAAGAGGATCCCTGAGGCTTGCTAGCCAGCCAGTGTAGCCCAATTGGAAAACTCCAGGTACAGGAGAGACCCTGACTCAGAAAATAAGGTGGAGAGAGATTGAAGAAATCACCATCAGCCTCTGGCCTCCACACATGTGCATACAGGTTCATGGTCACACATGTATATGCATTGAGGTGGGGAGATATACATACATATATACATATGTATGTATGTGTGTGTATACACACACACACACACACACGGGGTGCTGTAGACACTAAGTACTATGCTATGAAGTGTCATTTCTTTTATTAGAAAGGGTAAAAACATATTTTCTCTATTTATTTGTTGTCATCGAAGTCATTTAGGGAAGACACAGGAAATGCTTGTTCTGAAAAGGCCATTGGGTAACAAAGAGGAAATCCTGAACTGTTTTATTCAGTGTCAACCTGAGAAGTGCTTCTATGGTAGTGGAGGAGGAAAGAGAAATAACACAAGGCATCCCTTACTAATTATGTGTTGTCTGGTTCCCTTGAAAGCCATAATTAGGAGAAAAAGAAAAACCTACTTATTACAGGCACAAGTTCAGCATTTACAGCAGATCATTATTGCAGATCACTGTGCTGCCCACCCCGCCTTAAATGTTGTGCAGTGCAAACACCCATGACTTTACTGAAGCCCGGGTCCTTAGCACCAGCTCAGCATCTGCCATGCAGCATTCATGGTTTTGACAACAGGGTTTGAAACATACATTAGATTTTTAGTTTTTCTCTTCCAACAAAGCAGACTTTGAATTGTAGACAGATTTTTAAAATTTTTTTTTGGAATTTATTTATTTTTTATGTGTATGGGTGTTTTGCCTGTATGTACATCTGTGCACCATATGCATACAGAGACCATGGAGGCCAGAAGAGGGCGTCATATCCATTGGAGCTGGAGTTACAACCCCTTGTTAGCCTTAGAATAGACCAGGGTCCTCTGTTAAGAGCAGGGGCTGAGCCATGGCTCCAGCCTGAACACAGGTTTTTCTTATAAACTTGTGGCTTCTTTATGTGGCTTATATAGCTCATCTAATGATACAGTATATGTCTGATGTATTTCGATGACATTTGGGATAGAGGCACATGAGAAAGTAGCTTTGGCAGCAAGCATTTTATTAAATAACTCCCCCCTCCCCCGAGACAGTGTTTCTCTGTTTAGATTTGTAGACCAGGCTGGCCTCGAACTCAGAGATTCACTTGCCTCTGCCTCCCAAGTGCTGAGACTAAAGGCACGCATCACCACTGCCAAGCTCTATTAACGTGTTAAAAAAAAAAAAAAGATTTTACATCAACACACACACACACACACACACACACGGAGTGCATGCATGCAGTACAGGTGCCAATAGAGGCCAGAAGAGCATGGGATCCCCTGAAACTGGAATTATACCTAGTGTGGGTCCTGAGAATTGGATCTGAGTTCTCTACAAGAGCAGCAAGCACTCTTAGACTTATCTCTGCAGCCCCTTAAATAACTTTCATTGATCAATGTTTGCTAGTGAAGTCAGTTTTCATGTCACTGAGGCTACACTGCAGTCACATCTCTCTAATAGGGATCAGATGGTATGTGCTAGTTAAGGAAATAGTTTAGGAAATTATACTTTTTTTATGAATTTATTTATATTTTACATTCCAATCCCAGTTCTCCCTCCTTTCCTTCTGATCTCCTCTTCCCCCTCCCACCATCCCACCTCTCATCTGCTCCTTAGAGAAAGTACAGCCTCCTCTGGGATGCCAACTAAGTCTGTCCCATCACCTTGTTGAGGCAGGACCAAATGCCCCCAGCCCCCATGTCTAAGCTGAGCAAGGTTTCTTTCCGTAGAGAATGGGCTCCACAAGGTCAATTTATACATTATTGTTAGATCTTGGTCCCACTGCCAGTGGCCTCATATACTGCCCAAACCACACCATTGTCACCTGTATTCAGGGTTCATAATTCAGTCCAATGCTGGTTCCCCAGTTGACAGTGTAGAGTCAGTGATCTCTTACTAGCTCTGGTCAGATGATTTTGTGGGTTTCTCCAGTGTGGTCTTGACTCCTTTATTCATATTAAAAACTTCTTAATTTTTTAATTATGTGTATGTGTTTTTCTGTAAGAGCATGTGCATGTGGCTACCTTTGGAGGCCAGAGGCATTAGATTCCTGTGGAGATGGAGTTATAAGTTCTTGTGAGCTGCCCATTGTGGGTGCTAGAAGCTGAACCTGGGTCCTGGAAAAGTAGCAAGTGCTTTTAACTGTTGAGTCATCTCTCCTGCTCTGTGATTAAACTTTTCCACTCTTCTGTGTTTTGTAGGATTTTAATGGGTTAAGAGAACTTTTTGTTTAAACTAAGAAAAGTGCGTGTGTGTGTGTGTGTGTGTGTGTGTATGTGTGTGTGTGTGTGTGTGTGTGTGCGTGCGTGCGTGCACGTGCATGAGTGTGGAGACCAATGTCTGATGTCTTTATCACTTTTGAGACAAAGTCTCTCGCTAATCTGGAGCTCATGGATTCAGCTAGGTGGCTGACCAGTGACCTCCCCCCAGGTTCTTCCTGTCCCCACCTTCCTGGGCTGCTCGAATTTTGTATGGGTGCTGGGGTTGTAACTCATGTCCTTGTGCTTACAAGCATTCCACCCACCAAGTCAACCATAATTCACATTTGTTGTTGTTTTTCCCCTGAAAGCACTCATTCCTGCCTTGGAGGGAGGATGGGTAGCAGTAATGTCCCTAGGTATTTTGTTTAACTCTTAATTGCTTACTAACAGAGCCACACAATAGACCTCATATCCATAGAGCATCTGTTTATGATCTGTGTTTCAGAGACGTTAGCATATTATGAGATGAAATATTTTACTTCTTTCTCCCCTTTAGCACAACATTCTGAAATTTTTTGGCCATTGTAATGATCTTGATCGGGAAATGAGAAAGTGCTTGAAGAATGAGGTAAGAACCGTGTAAACAGCATAACAATTTTGAATATTATATTGTTGCCATTATTACATTTCCTATAATTTTAGTCTTGACAGAAAATCAACTTTATTTGTAGAGCATTCTCTTTAAAACCAAGAGGACTGACTCCTGCTTTGGGTACAGTTTTAGAACATTGTCCCCTATCTTAGGGTTTCTATTGCTACGAAGAAACACCATGACCATGGCCACTCTTAGAAAGGAAAACATTTAACTGGAGTGGCTCGCTTACAGTTTTGGAGGTTCAGTCCATTATCATTATGACAGGGTGCATGGTGGCAGGCAGATGTGGTACTGGATAAGTAGCTGAAAGTTCTTACATTTTGACTCACAAGCAGCAGGAAATGGTCTTATTCACAGGGTACTGCTTGAGAATATATGAGACCTCAAAGCTGGCCTCTATAGTGATACACTTCCTCCAACAAGACCACATCTATTCCAACAAGGCTACACCTGCCATTAGTGCCACTCTCTTTGGGGGTCATTTTCTCTCAAACCACCACACCCCCTTTCTTGCATGCACACAAGTGGAGAAGGCGTCTTTGCTTTCATTGAAAAATTCAAGGTGGATGAACTCAAGCTTCAAGAAATCAAGGAGTTACTTCAGTGACAGTGATTAGTTGGTTTGTAGGTAACTAAGAGTCTTTGGCCCTCAATTTCCTTAAGTAAAGTGAGGATGCTAATCATAGGCTCTTTCCATCTTTCGTGAGAATCTTGGATTCTGTGTGCTGTGAACAAGACACAGGGATTTAGTGTGATCATCTCCGGACACTGGTTTGCCAATAGCCCCATCTTTATGGAGACATTTTCTCAATTGAGGGTCTCCTCTCTGATGACTCTAGCTTGTGTCTAGATGACTTAAAACTAGTCAGTACAACTGCCCTGTATTTAATGTTGCTTCATTCTGCAGCTTATGAATGTTGTCCTGTCCAATCTTTGTTCTCTATTCCCTAGTCTGCTTTACTCCTTTAGTTCCTGTGTTCTTAAGAGTGGCTCCACCTGGTGGCAGTGGTGGCAAACACCTTTAATCCCAGCACAGAAGCAGGTGGATGTCTGTGAGTTTAAGGCCATCCTGGTCTACAAAGCAAGTTCCAGGACAGCCAGGGCTGTTATAACAGAGAAACCTTGTCTTGAAAAACAAAAATAAACAAACAAAAAAAGTTTGGACCTTTTAAAAAAAGTAAGTATATGTGTGTGGGTATGTGCACATGCTCAGAAGCTACAGGTGTTGGGTCACCAGAGCTGGAGGTTACTTAAGGTGGCTATGAACTGCCTGGTATGGGTGCTGAGCACTAAGATTGGTTCCTCTGCAGAGCTGCACAGGCTCCAAACCAGTGTGCTGGAGTATCTGATGCCCCTTTGAAAGGGTCTGCCTGTTTCTTCCTCTCTCTCTGGCCTTTTCCTTGGTTGTCACTGCATTTGCACCTCCTTTGTTCCTGTTGCTTCATTGTTAATGTCCTGTTTATCCTGTCTTTTGATGGTGTCTTGTGAGTGACTTTACATTCACCCTTCCCCCCTTTTTGTTCAAAGGCCATCTTGACTTCCTACATTAGCATAGGCTTATTAACTACATTAGTATAAACTTGACTTCAGTTTGCTCTATAATTCCTTTTAATGGCTTACTCCATGTGTCACCTTCTGAACACTTACCTTTAGATTCTCTTCTCTCCTGGTTGCTGCAGAGAGTCCAGTGTCAAAATCTTTTTTCCTAGAGTACATGTTGTCTGTGTTCTAGAATAGTGTTTTGTATTGTTTTCTCCCAAATAGTCCTATTGTTATGTTTTGTTTTTGAGATGGGGTCTCATAGAGCCCACACTGCCTTGGCCTCCTGCACCTACAAGTTTGGTTAAAGAGTCCCTGGTAAGGTCCTCCCTTACCACTTCCCTGGTACTGATTTTTTTTCTTTTTTTAATATAGGATTTTGTTTCGTAGCCCATTTGTCCAAGAACCCAGTTCTTTGAACTCAGCCAGAATTACCAGTATGACCTGCTATATCTAGCCTGGAGTAGCCTTTGGGTGAAGAAAACAGTTTGAAAAGCTATCATTCAAGGGATGAGAACATGGCTCATTGGGTGGGTGCTTGTGGTCTAGTAGACCACCTAAATTCCATCGCTGGGACATGCATGGTGGAAGGGGAGAATGAACCAACAATTTTCCTCTGGCCTCTACACTTGAGCAATGACATATGTGCACTCACATACATAAACAGAGAGAAAATAATTTTTGTTTGTTTGTTTGCTTGTTTATTGAGACAGGGTCCCACTATTTAGCTCTGGGTGTCTTGGAATTCATTTTGTAGACCAGGCTGGCCTGAAATTCATAGACCTAGCTACTTCTGCCTCTAAGTGCTAGGATTAAAAGCACGTGCCATTATGTCTAGTAATAAATGCAATTTTTAAAAACTGCCCTTCAAAAGGGTTTATACAGTTTTTCAATCAAAATCTGAAGTTTGAAATTGTATTGATTGAAACTTTTTAATGATTTTATGGCCTGGCTTTTTGTGTTTGTGGCTTCTGCCCTAGATAAGTAGAGGAGTTTAAAAGTTGAAAATTTTCATATTTTTTCTTCTTGGGGATAGGAGAGGAATTCAGTCAGGTCCTTACTTCGATCTTCTTTCTTTCCTTGTCTCTGGCTCCTGAAAGATGTTCCATTGTTGATATATGCTCACATTTTAATTCATTTTCTCTCTTTCCCCTTCCCTAGGGAGGAATAATTAATTTTTAAAAATACATATCTATCTATTTGTAGCATATAAACACATGTTTATTAAAGCATTCTGTTTTGAATGTAGTTTAATAAGCATGTGAGAAAATCAAAGTGTTCTTCCAAAAGAGCGGCTGCGTGCTCTATTACCTGTAACCTACAATGGCCACTGGCCATATGTCCACACAGGTACTGCAGCTGCAAACCTCCGAGGTGAAAACTGCATTGAGAGCAAGCCATTTGCACAAGCTTAGGGTTTGTGGAGGATCAAATGTGACAGTTGATGATGGAGAAATACTGGAATGTTCACCTGCTGAAATTACCCTGGGAATCAGTGGGAGGTTGTGAATGCTGAGAGCTGTTTCCTTCTCATGGTGTTTAGAGAAACATATCAGAAGTAGGCTCCCTCACCCCTCTCTGCCAGTCACTTGAGTATTGTGTTCAAGTCTAGTTCTGAATTTTTAATAGAGTGTTGCTATTGAAGTGCCCTATAGGATAAGCCATTTTGTAGGCAACAGAAGAAAAAGGCCACTCCCTGTAAACACTTGGAGTAACATTTGGCCTAGACAAGAGGAAAAGAGAGTCATCGTTGGCCATCAGTTACTTGAAGATTAAAGAGGCAAGGGTAATGGAAGGCAGGAGGGGAGTTTACCATCCAGCAGCTGAACAGGCTGCTCTCAAGGTAGTGGCACCAGTAATTAGACAGGAGCTGCTGGGGCAAGAGCAGAATGCATCTGTCCAAAATGCCCCTTGACTCCTTTGGGAGGACCTTGGTGAAGTGGCCGTCCATGCTGCTGTTGACGAGTCTGTGTTGAATAAGGGATCACTACCTCTAATGGCAGATTCCATGAATGAAAGACAGAGTCTCGTCAGTAAAAACATTCATCATTAACTGATGGTGGTGTAACTTGTCTCTGCTTCTCTCCCTTTTCCTTCCAGTATGCAGAGAGGAGGGCCAGGAGCAAGGAGCAAGGTATTGCCATGCGAAGGAGGCTTTCCCATCATCCAGAGGAAGGTGGAAAATAGGTTTACTGGATGCCCTGACTAGGAGACCTGAAGAAGGCTGGTAGCTGGAAGAATCCCTTCTTTTTGGTCTCTACAGTCCTTTGAATGAAAAGTGACCCATGAAGAGCTGAACTGTGGAGAAACATGAGAATGCGGATTCTCAGGACTTGTTGAACAAAAGCCTTTAGTGCCATGGGCTGTCTGCAGGACAGTTTCAGCTGCTACTGCCCCGAGCTTTCATCCACCTAGTACTGACTCACCTCCCACAATAAAGAAATTGGACAGTTGTCCTCCTTTTCCTTTAACCCTCTCAGGACAAGAGAGAAAGGGATGCCAGTAGGTTCTGCTACTTGAGAACATGGTAGTTGAAGATTAGGCTCTGAAGACAAAAGCTAACATGGGAATTCTGGGGAAGAGATTTTCTGAAAACTCATATATTTTTAATTAGCTTTCCAATTATGGATGGGAAAAACTTGAAAAAAATTGGACCTGTACATGTTTCTTGCCACTCTTTAAATATTACAGCATACACAGTCTTCATATTAGGCATATAGGAAGCTAGAGCTGGTGTGGCCACAGGTGAAAATGTATAGGTTTTATGTAAATACTTTGCCCTTAAGGGATTTGAGCATCTGCAGATTTGAGTAGTGGATGGTCCTAGGAACATTTCTGCCCAAACCTTTGGGGTGATGACTTACGTGGATAACATTGCATCCAGTTAGTGACCCATGGGACTCTTCATTTGGTACCATTTGATCCTGGGCTTTAGCTTTAGAAACTCAGAGCTCTTCATGTGTTCACTCTTGGCTCCTAGTTCACGGGTACTACTTCTACTGGTTCCTGAGACCTTTGACAGTTTGGGAGCCAGCAGTTTCAGCCACAGCTCCAGCAGGGCTTCTCGGGGCTATGCAGAAGCTATAAGCTTCTGGTTGTGTCCGGTGTGTAGTGCTTATGTGAGACTTGGGTTTTAATAAATGATTTTCCTGTTGCAGGAGAAGTTGGACATTTCAATTTGCAGAGTGGCTAAACAGGATAACATAGCCGATGAAAGGAGTGGGGACCAGAATTCTTTTTTTTTTTTTATTTATTTTTATTTAATTTTATATAACAAAGTCCAATTAAATGAAAACAAACATTTATACACAATATTTGGGAATTTGGGCGTCGTTCTTTCCAAACTACTTCCTGCTGGTTAGGGGCGCTGTCTTGGGGGATTCGAAGAAGATTCAGATATCCTAGCTGTAGTCTGCAGGGCTGTTTTGTCCAGCTGTTTTGAATGTAGGATCAGCTTGTACTCTGTTTCAGGCGGTCTGGTGTGATCAAACCACATTAGTCTGGAAGGAATCCACATCTTTTCATTTTCTGTGGAAACAAAAGTAGAAATACTTTTCCCCAGTAACTTGTTCTTCAACTTAAATTTTGGAGTCAAAGCGTTTTTTTTTTTAATTTATTATTTTACATGTCGATCCCAGTTCCCTCTCCCTCCCTCCCTCCCCTCCAGCCCTCCCTCCCTCCTTCCCTCCCTTTTGCCCTCTCTGCCCTCTCCCATGCACTCTAAACACCCTCCCCTCCCAACCCCCCACCACAATACCATATGTAGGGGAATGCCATCCAGTTGGGGTCATGTAGATCTGATGGGTCCTATGAAGTAGGGACTAGGGCTTCTCTCCTATCTCTAGAATAAGGCAGTTATCCCTCCATGGGGGATATGTTTGCAAAGTCCTTTTGTGCACCAGGGATACATCCTGGCTCCACTGTCTGAGGTCTCTTAGACTGCTCAGACCTTCTGGCAGAGACCCATATTCAGGGGGGTCCGAGTCAGTCCCCTGTTGGCTTCCCAGCTATCAGTCTTGTGGCCCTTAGCTCCTCCTTGTTCAGGTAAGCTGTCTCTATGTACTTCTACCGCATGGTCTTGTCCTCTCCATCTGCTTCTGGGTTCTAGTTCGACTCAGTGTTTATGTATGGGTGTTTGATCCTGTTTTCAACAGGCATTAGTTGAGGGCTCCATGGAGAAGTTAGTTGTTGATCTCACTCTCCGGGAAGAGCATTTATGATAGCCTTTCCACGGGAGCTGAGATTGTTAGTTGGGAGCAGTCTTGTAGTTCCCTCGACCTTTCTTTGTGTTCAACTTTATCTTCAAACCAATATTGGCTCCCTCTTTTATGTTCTCTCTCTCTGTCTCTGTCTCTCTCTCTCTCTCTTTCCTATTTTCCATTCCTAACCAGGCTCAATCCTCCTGGTCGCACATGCCTTCCTCTCCTCCCTCTCATTTTCTCCTACTTCTCTCTCCATTAGCTGTCCTCCCCCACTTTACCTGAGGTCTGGAGGACTTGTCCCTTCCCAGTTCGGTGAGGGACTTTATATGAATCTCTTAGAATACAACTTGTATCTAAGTTCCTCTGGTGATGTGAATTATAGGCTGGTGATCATTTGATCTAGTTCTAAAATCCATATATGAGTGAGTACATACTGTGTTTCTCTTTTTGTGACTGGGTTACCTCATTCAGGATGGTTTCTTCAAGTGCCATCCACTTGCCTGCGAATTTCAAGATACCATTATTTTTTTCTGCAGAGTAGTATTCCATTGTGTAGATGTGCCACATCTTCATTAACCATTCTTCAATTGAGGGGCATCTAGGTTGCTTCCAGGTTCTTGCTATTACAAATAGTGCTGCTATGAACATAGTTGAACAGATGTCTTTGTTGCATGGATGTGAATCCTTTGGGTATATGCCTAAGAGGGGGATTGCCGGGTCCTGTGGTAAACTAATTCCCATTTTCCTGAGGAACCGCCATACTGATCTCCAAAGTGGCTGTATGAGTTTGCACTCCCACCAGCAGTGGAGGAGTGTTCCACTTTCTCCACATCCTCTCCAACCTAAGTCATCACTGGTGTTTCTAATTTTAGCCATTCTGGCAGGGGTAAGATGGTATCTCAAAGTTGTTTTGATTTGCATTTCCCTGATAGCTAAGGATGTGGAGCATTTTCTTAAGTGTCTTTCAGCCTTTTTGATTTCCTCCATTGAGAATTCTTTCTTCAGTTCTGTACCCCATTTTTTAATAGGGTTATTTGGTGTTTTGTTGACTAGTTTCTTGAGTTCTTTGTATATTTTGGAGATCAGCCCTTTGTCGGATATAGGATTAGTGAAAATCTTTTCCCAGTCAGTGGGCTGCTGTTTGGTCTTGTCCACTGTGTCCTTTGCCTTACAGAAGCTTCTAAGTTTGAAGAGGTCCCATTTATTAATTGTTTCTTTCAGTGTCTGTGCCCCTGGAGTTATGTTCAAGAAGCGGTCTCCTATACCAATTTGTTCAAGGGTACCTCCTACTTTCTCTTCTAAGAGGTTCAATGTGGCTGGTCTTTGATCCATTTGGACTTGAGTTTTGTGCATGGCGACAGACATGGGTCTATCTGCACTCTTCTACACACCCTCATCCAATTGTGCCAGCACCATTTGTTGAAGATGCTGTCCTCGCCCCATTGTATAATTTTAGCTGTTTTGTCGAAAATCAGGTGTTCATAGGTGCGTGGATTAATATCAGGATTTTCAATTCGATTCCATTGGTCTACCTGTCTATTTTTATGCCAATACCAGGCTGTTTTCAGAACTATAGCTCTGTAGTAGAGATTAAAGTCAGGAATGGTGATGCCTCCTGAAGTTCTTTTATTGTATAGGGTTGTTTTGGCTATCCTGGGTCTTTTGTTTTTCCATATAAAGTTGATTATTATCCTTTCAAGGTCGGTGAAGAATTGTGGTGGGATTTTAATGGGGATTGCATTGAATCTGTAGACTGCTTTTGGTAAGATTGCCATTTTTACTATGTTTATCCTACCTAACCAAGAGCATGGGAGGTCTTTCCATTTTCTGGTATCTTCTTTAATTTCTTTCTTTAGAGTCACAAAGTTCTTATTATATAGATCTTTTACTTGTTTGGTAAGCGTTACACCAAGATACTTTATGTTGCTTGTGGCTATTGTAAAGGGTGATGTTTCTCTGATTTCTTTCTCTGCCTCTTTGTCGTCTGAAAAAAATAGGGCTACTGATTTTTTTTTTGAGTTTATCTTGTATCCTGCTAGTTTGCTGAAGGTGTTTATCAGCTGTAGGAGTTCCCTGGTAGAGTTTATTGGGTCGCTTATGTAAACTATCATATCATCTGCAAATAGAGACAGTTTGACTTCTTCCTTTCCAATTTGGATGCCCTTGATCTCCTTTTGTTGTCTTATAGCATTAGCTAGAACTTCTAGTACAATATTGAAGAGATATGGAGAGAGAGGACAGCCTTGTCTTGTTCCTGATTTTAGAGGAATTGGCTTAAGTTTCTCTCCATTCAGTTTGATGTTGGCAGTTGGTTTGCTGTATATTGCTCTTATTATGTTTAGGTATGTTCCTGTTATCCCTGACCTCTCTAATACCTTTATCATGGAAGGGTGTTGAATTTTATCGAAGGCTTTTTCCGCATCTAGGGAGATAATCATATGGTTTTTCTTTTTCAGTTTGTTTATATGGTGGATCACGTTGATAGATTTTCGTATGTTAAACCATCCCTGCAATCCAGGTATGAAGCCTACTTGATCATGGTGGATGATTTCTCTGATGTATTTTTTAATTCGGTTTGCCATTATTTTATTGAGTATTTTTGCATCGATGTTCATCAGGGATATTGGTCTGTAGTTTTCTTTCTTAGTTGTGTCTTTGTGAGGTTTGGGTACCAAAGTTATTGTGGCCTCATAAAAAGTGTTTGGCAATAAACCTTCTGTTTCTATCTTGTGGAACAGTTTGAGGAGTAGTGGTATTAGTTCTTCCTTGAATGTCTGGTAGAATTCTGCACTGAATCCATCTGGCCCTGGACTTTTTTTTCGTTGGAAGGCTTTCGATGACTGCTTCTATTTCATTTCGGGTTATAGGTCTATTTAAGTTGTTTGTCTGTTCTTGATTTAATTTTGGTAAGTGATAGTTATCCAGAAACTTGTCCATTTCCTTTGAATTTTCAATTTTTGTGGAATACAGATTTTCAAAGTATGACCTGAAAATTGTCTGGATTTCCTCTGTGTCTGTTGTTATGTTCCCCATTTCGTTTCTGATTTTGTTAATTTGCATGTTCTGTCTCTGCTTTTTCGTTAATTTGGATAAAGGTTTATCTATCTTGTTGATTTTCTCAAAAAACCAATTCTTTGTTGCATTGATTTTTTGTATTGTTTTCCTGGTTTCTATTTTGTTGATTTCAGCCCTCAAGTTGATTATTTCCTGGCGTCTGCTCCTGCGGGGTGAATTCGCTTCTCTCTGTTCTA